GTGAATACTACGTCCCTGGCCGTGTTCAAGGCCAGGTTGGACAGAGCCTTGGGTGGCATGGTTTAGTGTGAGGTGTCCCTGCCCATGGCAGGGGGATTGGAACTAGATGATCTTAAGGTCCTTTCCCTAACCATTCTGTGATTCTGTGTTAACACTGGAACTTTATTAGGAGATATTAAATAATATTAGCCTAAGCCCTTTTACCTTCTTTTTTTACTCTCTTCACATTCCTTCTGCAATCTTTATTGGCTTCAAGAAACGTTAACTAGCATGATGAAGTCCTTTACATGCAACAGAAAGCAAGCTCTCTCGGCTTTGGCTATAATTTGTAGTTTAGCACCACCTTCCTAGACACCAAAGAATTACAGCTTTGCTCTGCCAAATCTTCTAGCTTGAAACCTTCATACAAAAACAAAGAAGGATGGTTTTTTTTTCTGCAATCTGCTTCAATTACTAGACATTTTTAATAATAAGATAGAGTTCTTAGTCCTCAGCATTCTTCGGAGATCATGAATTTTTAGAAACTGTCCCACAGACTGGTGTTCCCTGTAGCACCTCAGGCACGGCTCTGTAGCTGTGAATCTGTCGTCACAGTTTCAGGGCCCATCATTTATGTTTCCAAGTCATGAAAACTGAACTGTAACTGCAGTTTATGCTAAATATAGCATATTTGAGTATTAAAAAACAAGCTTGTGAGTGTCTGATCTGAACATGATATATTCACTTAACATTGTGAGCAAAAATTTCAACCTATTTTCTATACTTCATCATAAATAACTGTTAAGAAAAGAGATTCAATGATTTCTTGAAAAACAGGATTGACAGAACAAATAGAATTGTGGTTGGCAGCCTCATAGTTCACAATATAAATACTTTCTTCCATAATCCACAGAGATGATAAGAAAAACAGTAAATGTGACAGACATAGGGTAACTAACCTGCATCAGCATCAAACACAAGCCCATACCTCAGCGAATATTTAAGCAAAGCATAAAGGGTTTTTTAATGCATTCTTCAGTTTTCCTCTTCTGCGTGTTCCCCAGCATGCCCTCACTTGCATGAGGCATGTCTAGGATCAGCTAACCAAGAATAAGCTTAATCACAAAATTACCTTACAGTGACCCTCTGCAAAACCTCCTTCTAGGCTGAGCTTCTTATCTTGTAACCCAGAAGCTGCATGCACTCCCCATGTCATGACCTGTTTTACAAAAGTCTCACGTAATTGATACTTAAAAATACCAGAGAGGTCTGTGCACTTTTGCTTGTCTTGGTGCTTCCCACCACAACTACAGGAGGTGTTCCCTAAGATGTGGTCACAGAATTCTGGGTGACATGCCTGTGTTCCTCAGGACAGCCCAGCGGCTAACTCGCTCACTGCCATGTTGCATGCTGAAGCTGCATCCCCTCTTAAGTCTTTGCTGACCTGGGGGTGCAGCAACCTCCCTGGTTGTAAAATTATTCTTCATCTAGAAAATGCCTTTAATATGGAGGAAACCTCTTGTCTCTTAGTTTCTTTGCCTACGCAATTACTGCAGCATAATCTGACTGTGAATGTAAAGCAACCCCTCATTTTTGTCTCTTTAGGGAAGTAAAAAAAGCTATTGCATATTAAGCAACCATCACACTTTCCACCCTTCTATCACATATTTAATTTCTCATAAACAGAATCCTAGTGGCAACCAACAGTGGGTTTAGTTATGGCAGTGAGCTAAAGGAACAGACACAGTTACATCTGCTGACTGGGCAATGACACAGAGAGAAAAGAAGATGATAAATGAGAAGAGAGGAACTGTAGGTGTCAGCCTTTAAAATCTTCCCTGAATTCCACATGTGAATCAGGTATGGTTTCTGGAAGCAGCCTCAAGAAAATGCATGTGAGTGAGTCTTTTAATGTGGATTAGTTTGATTTCTTTACACTTTTGTGTGAATATTCTCATTAAGAATTAAAAAGCCTAAAGTGACCTTTATTTAATTTATTTCATTTCTAAGGAGAACTAAAGCAGATTGAATTAAGGACACTGTAATTCTGGCCAAGAGTGTCCACATATTATTGTATAATGCAGTTTAATTCTTGACTTTTCAATTCACATCTTTAGTTTGGACTGCATTTTCAATGAGGCCCTGAGAAGCAAACACCAAGTGCATTACTGTTTGAAGAATGTCACGATAGTGTGCAATGCTTAACAGATTTATATTGTTTTCTTGTCCCACTTAATGGAGCATATAAATATTTCCATAGACATTGCTACTCATTAGAGGCAACTGCATAAACAGATCCGCGTGCTTACATGGCACATGTTTTTGATGCTTCTCTTAACATTTGAATTTGGCTTTAATCACACCTAGAGTTTGCATAGAAAATATATCAGAGACTTCTTTCAACTGTATATGACATTTACCCTTGCAGAAATGACTGGTTTTCATACACACATGCCCAGTGTAAACAGATTAACTTAGCAAGGAAACTATTTTTGAATGTCTGCACTTCCATTGGCTCCCCAGCCCTTCTCAGACACTGTTATCTCTGAAACCCCTCTCAGATTCCTCAATATCAGACCAGCCACAGTGTGGGACAGGTAGCTCAGTTAGGAAAGCGAGGGAAAGTCTCAAGCATCATGTCATTTTCCAGTCATAATGTTTATATCCCAGGTAAATTGAGTTTGGGAGGCTCAGAGCATCAAAAGCCATGATCCTGGAAGGGCAGCTGCCCTGGGCTGACCATAGTTTTCCACCTTCCTCTCCATCCTGGTTGTCCCCACAAGGGGGAAAGCACCACCCAGGGGCTTTTGGGCCTTGTGAAAAAGGGGCCTGGAGAAGGGTCTGTGGGCTCCCTATGAGCAGGAATTGTGGACTCGGTCACTTTGATCTAATGCTTTTCTTCAGTGTAATCCACCTTCCTTCATGACCGACTGATAAGCAATTCAAAGTGTTATGGTCAATAAGGTATTTCTACTCCAAATGTATTGACCTGGTGAAGACATTCACTTGCCAAGCAGTTTTCCGTCTTTCAGGTAAGTGAACTTTGCAATTAGCTCCCCGAGCATGGTGTTTGCTTGAAAGTAATCCCATTAAGGATGCTCTCTTTGCCTCCAGCTGCTGCACTTCAAATTTGATGGCATTGCTGTGTTGTTAGAAATCTGAACAGAATGAAGGGCATACAGAGAGAACAGAAGGCACACAGTATTAGCAGTTATTGTTTGATGAATACAAAGTGATAGCATCAACTATAAAAGCTAGAGAAGTCCTGCTTACAGTTCTTTAATAACTTGGAATTAAATTTTACACAATGAGCATCTGTTATCAGTCAATTTTCCCCCACACTCATACACCAAAAGCTTCAGCCAAGATAGCTTGCCTGTTTTCTGGGGCCAAGGCTAAACAAAAAAAACATGTCTCCATTTCTCCCCTGCCTGATGGGATATACCAAGATCCTATTCTGGCAGCTCCAGAAGCCTCTGATTTCAAGCAAGGATTTTGGATTCGCCTGCAGACAGCTTCTGTGGCAGAAATATGGCTTTTATTCCTATGAAAATCCACAAAAACTTGGCCAATGCACAGAAAAGTTATAATTACCCTTCTCTGCTTCCCACAGACCAAGGCTAATGCCCCTGCCTGCAGTTTTCCCCCAGTAATTGGGACAGGGCAGCCCTTCCTAGGTCATGGCACAGATGCCTTGGGGCACCCAAGTCTGGGCACCGAGGGGGACCATACCCCAACCCTGCCATGGCTGCTGGGTCAAATCCATAGAGATATTCCACTGGGCAGCAGGAAATCCCCTAGAGCCTCACAAGCAGTCTTTTCCCAGCATCTCACCCTTTCCTATGGGATTTATGGCAAGTAACTAGGAATAGCTTTCTTGGAAAACTTCATCATATTTTTAAATGATAACATCTGAAACTTTTCTGTGTGCTGACAGATCCTTGCATCTTTCACACTCAGGATGGTTAAAGCCAGCTGAGCAGCTCGCTGCTGAATTGGAGTTGAGTGCTGCAAAATCCATTCAGCAGACCCAACACAGCTGCTGCAGGGAGAATGGGACCTGGACTTGGGCACCCAAGGCATGACTTGATGAAGCAGAGCTGTGAGATTCTGCTATAGAGAAGAGTATCAATAACTAAAAGGGAAATTCAAACCAAACCTTATTTAGAAAATTATTCCAATGTGGATTTGTTCTGTGCTGAGATTACCAGCCACTTGTTCTCTGTAATTCCAGCAGCTGCAGGAGAGTTCCTGGCAGGGACAGGGACTGGCAGATCTGGTTTAATCAGCACATCCCACCTCACCCTGGGGATGAGTAGCTCTTTCAGCCACCATATCTCAGTTGCACCCTGTCACGTCCCTATTGCCATAGGAAAAGTGATAAGCAGAGGCTGGAGCGAAGGTCTGTAACAGTGGAAGAGGATGTTTTTCCCAAACCCTTTTAGAAACAGGTTTTACTGAATATTTGCAAACAACCATGCACTGCTAGCAATTGAAAAATTTGCAAAAAATGAATAAATTGTTCTAGGTCACCTGTATAAACATGTAGAAAGTGTGCAGTATGGGTATGTCAGGGAGGAGACTGCCAGCAGACAGCCTTGAGGACCCACTGGGATCCATCATGTCTTCCCTTCATAAGCTTGGGTCAGGGCAGGATTTATTTCCATGGCCTGAGGACTGAAACTCCTTCATTTTAAGCCCAGCTTAGACTCATTAAATCCACACTGATGCCTTTAACAGGTCTCTTTTTCCACTTCAGAGCTCCCAGGATGGTAACTGGATTAATCGGTGTTTACACAGAGCTTTGTGATGGAAAGTCTTGGTAAAATGTGTTCTGCAGATTTAGCCCTTTTGGACTACAGATTCAAAAAAAAATGCAGTATGAACTTACTTAGGGATCTTCATTCAGTAGGATACTTCCAAGCATGTTTAAGGATAATGATTTGGGTTGAGAACTCCACTAGATTCAAGCCTAACTTTATTAATTTCTTACACAAAATGAGCAGTTTTCTACGCTGGAATGTATGCCAAATGTCAACAATGTTTTATTTAAAGGTGTACGCAAATTACACTTTTGTCAGACATCCGTAAATCCTTCTGAAAAGGTGTCTGAGTTATTGTGCATAAATAATTTGCACAATGTATATTGAGAGATTTTAAGTGTTTGGAGACAGATGCCTCTTCTACATCCCTGAAGAAAAATGGAGAATAAAAGTGTCTTTAACTGTTTAGAACAGATGGCAGGGCAATAAAACTGCTGAACAGCTATAAAGCAAGCAAAAGAAAATAACATCCGTCAGACAGGAGTCAGTGGCAGTGAGATGCACAAATACAGATATTAGAGAAAAGTTACTTAAGAGTAAAGAATGACACTTTTTATCCCACACATCACATTCTGTCAGGCTCTGTCTTTTTGGTCCTCCTGATGCCAGTCTCTAATTAAGCAATGAACAAAAAATACAGTTAATTGCTTTACTGAAAACAGGTCTAGCCATATCCTGCATTTATCCCCCATGGGCAGCAGAGGCTCTATGATGCAGGTATTACTGACTTCTTCACCCACCAATGCTGAAAACAGTGAACACTTTTTGCTGTAAATTCAAAATACCCTATCATATACCCTGAGAAAATTGGTTTCCCACTCTTCTTTGTCTTCTGCTCTGACTTGCCCTGTTACCATTTCTATGCAGAACTGGAAGGATCCAGGATTCCCTGCCTGCGTAGCCAATGGCACATTCATCACCTGATGTACTCACGTGTGTGTTAATTAACAATTTCAGTGATACAACTGTCCATATGTCTGCTCCTACCTGAACTACTGTGGCCTATGACAACTCATTTGCAGGCTTCTTTAAATAATATTCTTAATAGTTAATATTCTTAATCATTACATTATTATTTTTACAGTTGTTATCTCTAGCGCTCCAGAGCTTAGTGAAGAGCTGTAAAACATAACACTTTCAGGATCTCTTATTATCTGCTATCCTCAGACTTCGAAAGTGTCAGTAGAATTCTTAGATCCAGCCTCATCTATTCCAAAAATTCATGTGTCTCTGTAGGTCTTTCTGTCTTATCTGGGGCCTTGGTGTCTCTTCAAGTTCCTTGTGATCTGCATAAGAACTCTTCTTGTTGTCAGCTGTTTCACTGAAAACCCTGAAAAAGAAGATTCTCCATGAGGAATAAATCATAGAATCATAGAATAGTTAGGGTTGGAAAGGACCTTAAGATCATCTAGTTCCAACCCCCCTGCCGTGGGCAGGGACACCTCACGCTAAACCATCTAACCCAAGGCCTTGTCCAACCTGGCCTTGAACACTGCCAGGGATGGAGCATTCACAACCTCCCTGGGCAACCTATTCCAGTGCCTCACCACCCTAACAGGAAAGAATTTCCTTCTTATATCCAATCTAAACTTCCCCTGTTTAATGTTACGTTTCAAAGGATATTTTTAGATTTTGCAAGCCCAGAAATTAAGACTTTGACAAAATATTACGCTTTTAAGAAATAGAGTTTTATCAACCTGAAAAAGGATAGATTTTGACTAGATATTAGGAAGAAATTCTTCACTGTGAGGGTTGCCAAGAAAAGTTGTGGCTGCCCTATCCCTGGAAGTGTTCAAGGCCTGGATGTCCCTGCCCATGGCAAGAGGGTTGGAACACGATCTTTAAGATCCCTTCCAACCCTAACCATTCCATGGTCCTATGACTCCAGAAACAGAAGATTTATGCACATGTCTTAAAATAAATAAATAAAATAAATAAAGAAAGAAGAGTAGCACTGCAAGTCTAATAGCAATGCATGTAAAAGTCTATAAACAAATAGGAAAGCTATTTTTTCCAATTTTAATCAAATTCCAGGAATAGACAAGAAAATAAAGTAGGAAAAGTAGATTAGCTACCTTAAGCCTTTTTTTTTTTTTATGTAAAGACTCTTGGTAGACAAGAAGAGGTTTATTTATAACTGAAAGTATAATTTAATTCTTTAATCATTATTGCTTTGGTTCCACTAAGAGTGTGTAATCACATGTGTTAGCAATGGAAGGTGGTGTCTTTGAGGCTGCACAGAGCAATAAAAATTGTATGGCAATTCCTAAAGCAGTAGAGTTAGGCTTCTTCTTTTTTATAGAGGTACAGAAAATGTTTGTTTCTACTCTAGAAACTGAAAAATCTCTTCCCTTTGGTGGTTTCTTTAGAATTTATGACATGCAGAATGCTTGAAGTATATTGACAGCAGGAGGGTTTGCATCAGCTGACTACACAGCAATGTCTACTGCCTCAGATCTGCTGATGCTCCATTTTTGGGGGGATTCATCACTACATAAAAATCAGCCCTGTGAATTACGTCTGCTTTGAAACTGTTTTGTGCTTATCTGATGCTCCACACTACATCGCAGTGTTGCAATGACAGGCATTTTGTCCTGAATAAAAACAGATGAAAGTTCACTGGAAATGCAGTTACTTTGGGTTTTTCTTTGGGTTTCTCTTCTGAACAAGACCAATATTTTTTCCTTATTCATAACCTAACTTGTTCAGTACTCTTTACAAAAAGCAGGTATAGGATTTCATAGTGCTTTTGTCTACAGCATGCATCACTTTTTACATAGCTACAGTTACATACTAAAAAATGGGAAAACAGCTTCCAATCAAGTCTGCCAAGTTCACAAACTTTGACTGATGACCAGAAGACTTGGCTGGATCCAAGTATTTTTCTTTCCATGTTGTATGTCAACAAACTATGACTCATACTAAATTCACATAGCCCCTAAGAGGATAATATTAATTCTGGCTAAAGTCAAATAATTCAAAGGTTTTATGTGTGAACAGGAAACAGATTCAGCACAAATCTTCTATTATAACTGAGATTAACATAGTGATAAGGGGGCCACAGCAATAAAGGCATGAACTGTTGAGCTGGATACGCCTAACAGTTTCTGAGAACTGAAGAAATGTCTTTCAGAACCCCTGGGTAGTACCTTAGCGTCAGTAAGTCAGTGGCAGAACTCCTAATGACTTAGCTGAACTACCTTTAACTGGGTGGATCTTCCTAGGTATTTAACCACAGACTTGCCTGGAATTCATCCTGGCAGGTCAGCCTGCAGGCACTGATCTTGAGTAACACAGGAAAATGAATTTGAAATGGCTACAGTGTCTATGCAGTACATGTTATCTGCTGCATAGTGATTAAAATTTGTTGCATTGCACAATAACCATCAAGAACATACCCATGAAACTGAGAGTGAATAACTTTTAATCCTTCCCCATTGTGGCACCATTAAAGCAGAAGTAGCCTATTAGCTGAAAACATGTACCTTTTTCTAGCATAGATGCAAAATGTTTTAGCATATCACGACAAAATTCAAGAAAAAGTGCACACTTGTTTACGTGATTGTATACTGAATATACAAACTATGCAATATTTCTTAATGCAGCTCTTAGTCACTAAGGAGAAAATGTTAAGACTGTTAAATGAAATCACAGTAACTGTTCACACTTGTAGAATCCTCTGCAATGTATTTCCTGAAACGTAGACATCCATTTTTTCAACTAGTAAATACCTTATTAAAGCTAAAGTATTTTCAGCAACACAATTCTGGTTTTCACCCACAACTTCTACTATTATTGTTTCCCACAATGAAGCCACACTGGCAGTAGTCACTTGCCCTTATCTGTGATGCTTTGTATGTCTGCACAGCTGAGGAAAGAGGGCTCCAGCATTCTTGGTCTCCTGCTGCTGTTCATACTGCCCCAGGCATGAAGAGCGTTGCTGGCCACTGATCTGGGAACACAGCTCCACACTCCTCTTTTCACAAAGAAGAGCAAAGGAAAAAGATCAAATTCAAAATCCTCTTGTCGTTTGAGCCTTTAGATGGGCATTATGTACATACATATTGAAGGTTATGTATTATGGCAGCCTTATAAAGAAAGATATTTTAGTGAGGGTTCGTTAAAAGAGTTCACTGGTATGAAGATTTTTTACCTCATCCCCTGCCTGGCAGTCATAATAAATGAAATCTCTACACTACCTATTACTAACAGGCCTCTCATTACTTTTAAATGATAAGGTTCAGTGTTTTATTTACAATTGTGGCTGATGCATTATGCCTATTTTCTGAAGCAGTAGCTGGAAATGCCCTACCCCTTTATGATTAAATGCTTGCAAAAATTGCTTTGCTTTGCTAGTAGAAATGGGAGTGGAGTGTTTGGCAAATCTAAATTGGTGTTCCACTGAAACACATTTGCGCAGAAAGTTGCAACAAGCGAGTACTGAAACCATCCAGTCCCACTTCTGTACACCCAAATGAGGTTAAAAAGAACACAAGTCACATATATGTTGAAGACATATATCTCCAGGAGTATTGCGGCAGTATGCAAAAAAAAAGGATATGATGTCTTCACTATAGAAAACACAGTACTGGGGAGGTATCTGCAATAGCTGAGACTGAAGCTGCATGTTAACATCATGTCATGCCTATACTGTGGCTCAGGCCAGCTATCACGCCCTCTCAGCCCACACTTTGTTCTGTATAGACAGAAGCTCAGCTAAAATCAAAATGTACTTCAGTTCAAGAAGCACCCACATGAGCTGTGCTCAATAGCTTTCCTCTAGCTTTGCCAAAAGCCCATGCAGACCATATGTGGGGTCTGTCACTTTTGCATGGGACAGGGAGGACACCCAGCTATGTTTTCTGAACACACAGGCCACATGACCTGCATCACAGTGACAATCTATCTCTGTTGCACTGATGACTTTTGCTGGACTGTGCTGTTCCTGCTGCCTTAGACCTTAATGATGCCCATTTTCACCATTACAGGTAAAGTGCCCACAGGACACCAGAATGCCAGTGCTACCAAACTGTGTCAGAACAACACACGCAAGACTACCCAACACATCTTCACACTCACCAAGACAGGTAGACCCACAGCAAAATCTGGAAATGCATGGGTCCTACCCAGGTGCATGTTAGGTTATCATTCCTGGCTTGATGTCCCAGGAAGATAGCAGTGATGCCCTTGCCCTGCCGTTCACTAGCACTTCCCCTCTACTTTGCAGGCACCAGCCATGGCAGTCATCTAGTCTCTTCTCAGCACCTGTATTTAGCCTATCAGTATTTAACTTCATAGGTTACCAACGATTTAAACTCCGCAGACCTTTTGCTAGGCTTGAACAACAGGGTGCTTTTTGCAGAAAGCCAGTGTGCGCACACCCACTATGTATCTCAAAACTGCAAGCTGTGTTTTTGAACCTGGGAAGTCATGGAAGAGGCAGACTACTCTTAGGAAAGTAATCTGAAGTTAACAGATCCCACAGCCAGCACTGCCAAGATCTAAACAAAGGGTAAGTGGGAATAAATGAAATGGAAACTAAGTTGAAAATATGTTGTAACTAAAATATCTGCAGCATGTTTATGCACAACAGCTAGGGACTTTCCAGAAATATAAACCCTTTCCCTAAAGGAACTAATAAACAAAGGCAGATGAAGGTTAGGGAAACCTTATGCCTGAGACACAGTGGAAGGTCACCAGAAGTTATATAATTAGAATTAAAAGAAAAATTAATTCTCACGAGCAGTGGGAAAGTTTTTAAACAACCGTGGGATACAGGCGAAGTATCTTTCACCTGAAGTTACACTTACAAAATCCTGCATCACATACCACAACTTTGAATAAATGGCTGAATAGTAATTTTACATGAAAAAAGAAGATGCCGTTTGGGATAATAGGACAATTCTGGCTGGGTGGGAGCTCAGGGCACCTCAGCTAAACCTGCTGCTCGCAGCAGGGCCAGCTCTGAGCTCAGACTGGGTTGCTCAGGGCTTTGTGCACTCCATCAGCTTCTTACCACAGTGGATTTTTTTCCCCTTCAAAGTAGGGGAAAGGGGAAAACATGAGAAGAAGCTTCTCTTCTATGTAGTTCACCAAGGAACTACCTAGACCAGGATCTTGTCTCCAGCAGTGCTCCACCTGCTTGGGCACCAAAAGCTGCCTTCATTCTTCACACACAGCCCCAAGACAGCTTCACCTGGTGCCCCAGAGCTGTACTGAGTGCTCAGCCCCTATCCTATCTGGTCACACCAACCTCGATTTTATACTGCTAAGGAGCTACAGCACTAGAATTTCTTTCTTTCCTTTCCTGGATTGTCCTATTCCTTCTTT